CCAACTCTTCGGCATATTTTCAATGTGTTTCCTATATTCATTGTTATCATTACCAACATATTTGAGTCTACCTTCTACTTTCCATTCTTTCTTTGTTGAGAGCCACAGCCAAAGGGGCCCCAGCAAACTTTCAGCTGCCAGCAAACTTCCAGCTGCCAGCTAATGATTGGCTCACAGCGGCCCCAGCAACATCTAGCTGATTGGCTCCTCTGCGGTGATGTTCATTGGGCTGTTTCCCTGCCCTTCAGACTGCCAGCTGATGATTGGCTCACAGCAGCCCCAGCAACATCTAGCTGATTGGCTCCTCCATGGAGCTGCTCATTGGGGGACTTCTTTGGCTCCGCCCACACAACCCAGCCAATCGGCCTCAAGAGCAGGAGGATTGTGGGAGGTGGAGAGGCTTGTGCTTGTGGAAGCCGGTGGTGGCAGTTGGGCTCTGAGGGTTTTTTCCTGAGGAGCTGTTTTGTTTGGCGTTTGTAGTTCTAAAAATAAAGTTAGTTTCTTTTGACAAGTGACTCCTGAATTGTGCCCAGCCAGACTGCGGCATTTCTTATCACTTTATAATTGTTAAAAAATTTTAACACATATTTAACTTTACAAGGTCCAAAGTTATCTTTATCCTCCTTCCCACATAATAAGGGCTTTAAAATATATTAACTCTGCTCACACACTCCCAAGTTATATTGTTGTCTAACATTGTAGTTAGACACAAATTGTTTTATAGCTCCTCAAAATTTTACTGTTTTAGACAGTTAATGCTTTGTGTTTACTTTTAAATTAAAAAGTTTCCTCGCTTACCATTCACATTCGTTGCATCTCAAGCTTTTCTGTCATCATATTCCATCATCTCAACATTTACCTTTGGAAGATTCTTTAATGAGATCCCCAGTTATTGTTCATCAGATAGCACATTTTACCATTATTCTTGAAATTTGTTTTTATAAGTTATTTTCTATTCTCTTTTCTGATTACAAATGGGAAATAAGCTTTCTAATTGTTGGTTCTGGGTATTACTTCTTTGGCTGCTTTAAAGATCTCTTTTATGTTCTGTATCTACTTGTAAATGCTGCTTTCTGGGTTATTTCTTCAAGCCTAGCCTTCAGTTTACAAATTCTCTCTTCAACTGGGTCAGTTTATCCATTCTAATTGCAATTATTACATTTCATTGTTTACTTCTTCCTGAAATCTGCCTTATCATTCTTTTCATTTGTTTTTTTAACATACATTCCTCTTATTGCTTCTGACACAATTTTGCAGTCTTTGCAAATTTGACTATATTATTTGTTATTTCTTCTCTCACTTATGACTTTGGATATTAACTTGTTTCTTAGAATATGTATGGGAATGCCTTGATGCTTTCTCCAGGAAGGTTTTGGGTTTGTTTTTGTTAGAAGCATGGGGACACTATCAATTCAGGATCATTGTAAAATAAATTTTCAGTTTGAGACTTTTTTTTTTTTAAAGAGAGAGTGAGAGAGGGGGACAGAGAGAGAGAGAGAGAGAATTTTAACATTTATTTATTTTTTCTTAGTTCTCGGCGGACACAACATCTTTGTTGGTATGTGGTGCTGCTGAGGATCGAACCCGGGCTGCACGCATGCTAGGCGAGCGCGCTACCGCTTGAGCCACATCCCCAGCCCACCAGTTTGAGACTTTTAAGGACACCCAAGTAAGAAAAACTTCTGCACAAAATTTGCATGGTAACTAGCTGTGGTAAGGAATTTCTCATGGGACACCTTTCTCCCACTCAACATTGAGGCCTGTACTTTTCCCTTATATCCATCTCTGATGTGTTTTACTTTCTAGTTTACCAAAATATTATATCCTACTCTGCTCAGGCTACTCATTTTTGTCCAGCTGACTTGCAGACCTAAGTTGTTCTGTAAACAGCATTATTATAATTTTTTTCTTTCAGTAACTATACTTGTTAAGAGTTTGATCAAGCCCTGACCCTATCTGCAGATCTCACCCAGGAGAGACTCGTGGATGGATGCTCCTCTCCAAGTGCAGTCATCAGCTTCAATGCTTGTTACTTCTCTCATGTTTTCTTACTTTTTTTTTTTTTTTGCTTCTGATAATTCCTTTTTAAAAAAAAAAATTTTTTTTTTTAGTTGTAGATGGATACCTTTATTTATATGTGATGCTGAGGATCAAACCCAGGGCCTCATATGTGCTAGGGAAGTGCTCTACCACTAGGCTACAACTCCAGTCCTGAGAATTCCTTTTTTGATAAAACCCCTATATTAAAGACCACCCCCATGTTTATCCATCATTATTTTTTGAGCTAATAAGTTTCTCAAGTTATTTAGTCTAGCATACTGCCAGACATTTCTCTTCCACTTTCTCACATATATGTGCTTTTATGCATAAAAATGGATAAAGGAGATTTGTCAACCTTACTGAAAAGGAAAGATGTAAAAAGTTCTGGTAAGAAAAACACAAGTCAGCTAGTTGCAGGTGATGGTAAACAACATGAAATGGGTAATGAAGAGAAAATGTATACATGCATATTCAATGTATTTATTTGTATGTATGTTCATGTATTTTTTTACTATTATTTTTAGTACTAGGGACTGAGTCCAGAGGTGCTTTACCACTGAGTCACATCCCCAGCCCTTTTCATTTTGTATTTTTGAGACAGGGTCTCCCTAAGTTGCTCAGGACCTTGCTAAGTTGTCGAGGCTGGCTTTGAACTTGCAATCCTCCTACCTCAGCCTACCAAGCCACTGGGATTACAGGCATGCACCATCACACCCAGCTGTTCATATATATATTTATATAAACTATGCACACTTGAATAACTAGAGTCTTAGTACTAATGTATGTCTTTCCTTATTATATATGTATATATCTGTATTATTAAAGTTGATATATGTACACACACACAACTTTTCCCCCCTTCTATCTTCCGGTTATTCCATCTAACATTATAAGACTTTTATAACAAGGAACATTGTGATCAAGCAAAGGTAATATCATAGAGATGAATAGGTAACTTGTAAAATTTATGCCCTCTTGGGAAGAGAGTAGGTGTTGTCTACAACAAAGAAGTAGGTGTGTGTGAGGAAGAATCTTGACAATCTTTATTCTTTGGAAACTTAACATGGATACAAGTGTAAGTGTAGATACTGAGTGCTGTGAAGAATGAACCATGCTCAACAATATCTGCTGAAGATTCTGTACTGTTCTCATTCTTGTGCTCCATACTTGTCCACATAAATCCAATTGGATTTCACCAATAAGAGGCATTTGTACACAATTCAGAAAGTAAAGAAAGGTGAAAGTATTCTCCAGTGGTAACTGCCATCAGGCTAATGGGTATCAGACAGCTAAATGTGGGATTTGCCAGTTGTTTGCAGGCACTTTTCTGAAAACCACTCACACTTGGTCCTGCAGGAGCCAATATCACTCATGGCAGGCAGCTTCCTATAATCCCTACAGTGGCAGATTTCATACTGGCCTTCCTGATCTGCATTTCCTCAAGCTTTCTAATGGTCATGGAAGACCAATGTAATGATTAATTTGAATTGTCAAGTTGATTGGATTAAGAGATGCCAATGATTATGAGGCTTCTGGGTGTGTCAAGGAATGACTGTCATGTGGGATAGCCAACTGAAATGAAGACCCCCCCACCTAAGCAGCACTGCCCAAAAAAGATAATGGCATAGATGGAATAAAAGTTGGAAGAACAAGGAAGCAGCAGCAGATGAAAGTTCTATTCTTCTGAAAAGGTTCTTGATTGCTGCTGCAATCATCTGAGGATATTAGACTCTTACTTCTTCACTCTTCAAAAGCAGACCCTGCCAGTGATTCTCTAGGGTGTTTCCAGAAGCCTTTGGTCTCAAGACTAGGGTAGAACCATTGATCTTTCTCATTCTAAGGCTTCAGCCTCTTGGATTGTGCAATTACTGGTTCTTCCAGTTCTCCAATCTGCAGCCGACCATTATGGACTATCCAGCCAACCTAATAAATCCCCTTTTTATAATTATACTTCCTGTTGATTCTGTTCCTCTACAGAACTCTAATACAACTCCCTAGAAAATTCTTGCCTATTGAAAATTCCCTCAGAGAATTCTGATTTCTTGATCAAACTCTTAACAGGTTGTTACTGAAAGAAAAATAATAATAATAAAATGTTGTTCATTAATAAATAGCAAGGTCAGCCAAGTGTTTTATTATGCAAATACTATTGCAAATTCTTTGTGCGTAGACACTGAGAAATATGTTGTTTGCTTAACCAGAGTCCATTGTTTTGCCTGCATTTCTCAGATACCCAATGTACCCACTGCACCCAGTATACTGACAGCACAAGGTAAAAGAATGGAAAAGCAGGACTTGGCTGTTAAATTCTGTGAAATGATTTCCACTTAAATAATGATTTAAGCTTTAAGGCACTTTATTTGAGCACAAGCCAAGTCAAGATTAGGATCTTTTTTTTTTTTTAATATTTTTTAGTTGTAGTGGGCACAATCAATATCTTTACTTTATCCATTCATTTATATGTAGTGCCGAGGATTGAACCCACAGCTCCATACATGCTAGGCGAGCACTCCAGCCACAACCCCAGCCCCAAGATTAGGGTCTTTAATTTTAAAAATAACAAAATTAAAAATCAGCTCTATTTTCTAATAGGATGACTGTCAACATTTTCAGAACTGCTCTTACTTAGTTTCAGCATACTCAGTTCAAAGGAGTTGAGAACCATTTACTAAGGAATATCACACTGATGGGAAGGTCAAGTTTTAGAGAACCATGCCTAGAGTCCACTAGCTTTTCTCCATCCTTGGAGACTTGTCATTTTCCTTCATTCTTGTGTCCTATTCCATGAAGAACCATGAATGTGCAAACCAATTCATTATTGTTCCTGCTGAGAAAAGTTCCTAATATTTCATTTAAGTTCCTAATGTTGTGTCATTAAAATCAATTCTGTATTCAGAGACTATTTTCCCACTTCAATTAAAGTAATCCCCAATAACCACCAAAAAAACAAAGACTACATATGTAAAGAAATTTCCAATTTAATTTGTTGGATTTGTTCAAAGAAATGCTTTAAATTTTTATAACATATAGGTCCAAGTTAACAACTAAGAACAAAGATGGAAATCCTACAAAGATGTCCCACAGTTTCTAGGTTTCTACATAGCAGCAGTGAAAGTAAATTAATTTTTAAAAAATCATTTTATTCAAAGAATTAAAAAAATTAAGAAAGCAGGAGATAAAATTCAAAGCAAATAACCTTGGTACTTCAAAACAATTCTACAAACAAAATGTGATTTTTTTTAAAAGCCCCTAAATCAAAACTTCTAGACACAGTCAAGTCTAACAGAAAGAAACTCAAATATAATACAATTTTATTTCTCTTGCCTAGAAATTAAGTCTTTATTGTCTCAGATATTTTCCATCTACTAGAGGCATTATGTGAAGACAGTGGATCAAGTTTTCTAATGGGTTCATGTCACATGGACCTCGCCATAATAAAACATCAATGACTGAGGCCACACTGGAATAAGGACAACAAAGTTACCTGAAAGGGAGCTATTGCCAGAAACAAACTGCCGTGATTCTGATACATCTAGTTCTCTGCAGCCTGGGTGTTTATCTAGAATTAATGAATAGCAACCTTTAGGTGTCACAAATGAAAAAAAAAATGTGTAATTTAAGAACAAAGGGGTTGGTTAGTTACAGTTTGTCTTTTAGGTATAACAGATCTGAAATTCTCCATGAATATCATACTATGTGCTTTGGAATTCTGGCAATTTTCCTCACATGATCTTGCAATATTTATCTCCATCTCAAAACATACAAAGCTGAGTGACAGAGAGGTAAAAATCAACTCCTAAAAATCCCAAGTGTGCACAGCAGCCGTTAAATTTTTTACATGTTTATGGTTTTTTAATAGTTGGGTGCTTCTAAATCACTTGGTATACTGCATTAATTAAAAACATGGAAATAACACCACTTGTTTCCATTCAAATTATGTAAAGAGTCTTTTTAATTTTAAACAGAGAAGCAGAATGATAGGTGAAAAGGAAAAAAACTCTATCCAGAGGACACTTCTCTAATTGTTTAAAAAGCTCCGTTTTTTAGTTCCATATTTTCAATTACACACCCAAAGTTCATATTCAAGATATCCTGAAATATATAAAGGAAAATATGGATAAAGGAGCAGCAGTCTCTACAAGAAAATACATAAGTGGATCCTGGAATTCAAGTTAATGAAGCATGTTAATGTAAGTTCACAAAGTATGTTTCAATCTTGGAAATAATTTCCTGTATACATGCTCACCAAAGAGAATGATGAATTCATTTCATCACATATATAGCACCTGGGAAGGGGTCAGCTTTTAAATGACTCATATTCTGATAACTTTTCTGTACATTAGCACAAGGATGCTCATAAGGTTAAATAAAGCTCCTATATTATCTTAAAAAATGAAAGAAGCATGTTTACCTTCAGATGATTGAGAGAAGCTTAGCCTTTACTTCTTTCCTTCATCCAAAAAAATTAAAGAAGTATTTTTTTTCCCAAATGCCATTTAATGAAAAGTGCCCTTTTAACTTTTAGGGATATTACTTCTTGGCCTCCAGTAAGGTCTCAGTAAATACTGATAATCAACTGCAAAGAACTGAAAGAAAACTGTTCACTTAGAAGTAAGGTTGAATTTTACTTCAAAAGGATAAATCTTAAAAAACATGATTCATGCTGATGAGGCAGTCTTAGTTTCTACAGAGTCAGAGCACAGGAGTGAGAGGGAGAGTCCACAGACTCAACTGAGTGGGTAGACCCAATAGCACATCTGTCCATTCCAACCACCCTGGTCTCCTGCAAAACCGAGCAAGTGCTGTGAGCACTGGGGAAAGCATCTAGCGTGCTGTATATAAAATAATTCTGTAAAGGGAATCTTTGTTCTACAATTTACAGATTCCCAGATACTACTTAGATTGTCTTGTCACTCATTTACCATATATATTTTATATATATATATATATATATATATATATATATACACACACACACATATATATATATATCCTTCTTTTGCAACTATGAATTCACTTGAAATTTCTGATTACTGCAAATCCTGAAAATTTGCAATAACAACATACTGCAAAAAATATAAAGTGACTTGAGAAAGTATATTATTTATGGAGTATGATATCAGAAAGAGTATCCAGCATTTGTTTTATCTAATGATCCTTTTTAAAACAACTGGGAAGCCAGAATACAGAAATGTGGCTTTTGATAATATTTATGCAATCATTTCTTATTTTTAAAAGTTAAAGTAATTAGTAAATGTTCAGTGTCACTAATGTTTACTAAGAACTAAAGTAAAACAATGTCTATATTTCTTAGTACAATACAATTTTTAAAACAACTACATACATGTATATGCTTTAAATATTGGCAGATTGCTTCAAAATGAAATTCTCAGCAAGTTTTTGGTAATCTATTCACAGTTCTGGCTTAGAGTCACTGAAATTACAAGTCATGAGGATGAAATGACCAATTGGCTCAGAAAACTGAACATTCATTTCAAACAACACAAAACTGAAACAAGCAACAACACTAACCCCTCCCCTCACAAGAAGTATAATTTAAACAAATTCCAAAGTTTTATTTAAGCAAAAACACATTCAACCATAGAACATCCAAAAAGCTAACAGGATCATTTCTATAATCATTCTGAAAACTAGTATAGAAAGCAGGGTAATTTGAGAATTTCTAAGATGTTCTCATTAACCATTAGTTATCGTATCGTAACATTTCCACATGAAGCTATTACATACTTACAAGTTAATACGGCATAACTTAACAATCTTGCTAACTATAATTTTAACCCTGGATATTACAAGTTTGAAGCTAATATGATTAGTCCTATTAATTGTCATTGTCCTAGATTTGAAGATAATGTTTAAATTCATCAAGCTAGGGAGATAACTGAAATGTTATTAACAATCTTTAAATATAGTGGGTAAAAACAGATTTATATGTTAAAACTTTTAAACTTGAGTCTATTAAAAGTAAAAACTGAAATGTGTTTCTGTGGGTAAAACACTGCCTGTCATTCTTGTACACAAAATTTACTAAATATGTAGATCTTACAAATGAAATATCTTTACCATTCTCTTCAATTTCTTTGGCCTTTACAAATTCAATGTGAACTATGAATTCTTTTTCAATAAATACTTTTCAATGATTTTGTGCTTTTTTCAGAAAAATCACTTAATTTGTAGCATATAATAACTAGGTAACACCAGTCTTTCTCTTTTATTGCTATAGAATATCCTACATATATATATATACACACACACACACACACACACACACACACACACACACACACACACACATATATATATATTTAAAAAAGATAAGAGAAAGAGCTGACCCAAAGGACTTAAAATATGTTTGTTAAAACAAACACTTTAGCTGGCTTTCCTTCTTTGAAGAGTAATGAAATAAATGTCAGAGAAATATTACCAATGACCCCCAAATAGGCTCCTTTTCTCCATCCTCAGAACTAACTCAGGACAAGAGACCCAGATTTAAAAGAAGTCAGTATCACCTCAGAAACAACCTAAGAAAGCTTTCAAAGGAGAAACAGCCCATCTGCACTCTACCCTGTGTAAGTTACCTCTGAGAAGCAGGAACACTTGATTGTTTTTCATCTGCATGTTAATGACTCTGTATTGTTTATAGCCTGTGATTACAGCTCACTCTGCACATGCATTTCACTTCTTATGAACATTATATATGATATGCCCCCAAACTTAGACCATCATTTAAGTAAACAAATCCATTCAACTCACAGCACCCATGCCTTTCAATGAACCTAGCTACTCTTCTCCAGTGACAAGTCTACCTGGGGATAGACATTTTTTGAGAAGGAAGATGTAATTTTAAATGACCTGCACAGCTTATAATAGGTAGTCATAAAAAAAGACCGTTGACATAAAAAGAGCTGACAACTTTTTTTTCCTCTTATCTTTATCCTATGGCATATGTGATTTTTAAAGTGGAAAAGTTGATTCCAAAGTAATAATTATTTACTGGGCCATGTGTTAGATGTCCCCTGACTTAAAAGGGCCCACTGGGTAAGGGCATATGAATTAATTTAAACTTTAAGTGTACTATAAGAAAAAAAACTTTTTATATAAAGAGCTCCTTTTGTAGAATACCTTTTTCTGAAAAACACATTTTTTAAATAGTCTATATTACATTGGCTTTAACTGGGTATGCTCACTTATTTAGCCTTGCCTCACTGCAAAACCTTTTATGTGTTAAAAATTAATTTATAAAAACATTTAAAAATCACAACATTAAATGGGGTAGAGAGCAAGAAGAGAGAAAAGGGAAACAAAATCATGTTTGGAAAATACCACTTCATACTTCAACTTGGTTTTTGATACTCAGTTTAGAACTTACCCTAGCTTGGAGTATTTGTGTATGGAGTGTGATTTGGGGTACAAATCACAGCCAGACAGAAGTAAGTTCTGGAATTCTATTACACAGAAGGTGATGACAGCCAACAGTACCAAACGATATAATTCAAAATAGATACAAAAGACCACTCTGATTGTTCTTATCACAAAAAAATGATAAATGTTTGAGATGATGGATAATCTAAGTATCCTGAGTTAATCATTTTACAACATACCAAAACATCACACTGTACCCCATAACAATACACAATAATTATGTGTATGTCATGTATATCAATAAAATAATTTAAGGAAAGAAATGCTGCAAACCCATACACATGTCAAATGTTGTCATATCAAATATAAGAAATGATATAATACATATACTAAAACTAGTATGCTTACAGAAAATAATCTTATAAACAAAGTAGGTAAATATAGCTATAGCAGCTGTATGTGTTTGTGTGTGTGTGTGTGTGTGTGTGTGTGTATGATGTAAATAGTGACCTTATTTTATTTTTAAAAACAATGAGATCCCTAGACTCCATCAATGATTCCTTCCAAATTACCTTAAAATATGCTACTTCTTTCTCTACCCATCATGCACAAGCAGTGTTTTATACTTCTCTTGTAGCAATAATAGCTATCCAAAATCCTAACCTCATCCAGAAGTTCAAACACAAAAAAGGAAATAAAAGACTGAACTTACTAGAAATTATGCTAAATATTTCACCTTCACAATTTAAAAGTGAGTACTTTTGAAAGAACTCAACCAAAACATAAGCACACTCTCCTATAGCCCTCAAGATCTAAACCAAAAAACTCTGTGAAAAAAATTTTAACTCACATTTTTGGGGTATCTAACTAATATTCTACTTTAAATATTTTAACCCAAAGTGTCAACTTCCACTTGTAACTGCAACCAGCTGAAGACATCTTACCACCACTTTATTTACATCATCTTCATTCCTAAATAAATTTCAGGGTAGAACACAGAAAATACAGAAGAAAAAATCTAGGAATACTAAATATGATGTCCTTTATTTACTAATATCAGTGTAAAACATAAATTTTTCTTAGCCTAGCCTACCATACCTATTTAAGAGCCAAAGACTTGCAAATCTTCTAAACGATTTCAGAGAATTTCCAAACTGACACTAAAGGTATATTAGTTTTATGCAACAAGGCAGTAAAGAAAGTCAAAATTAACTGTAGGAAATTCTTTCATGGGACAACGTTGAAAAGAATATTGAATATACTGACAATCTGAAACATTTGATAGCAACTCTGTTGTGATTTCAAGAACAAGATACAAATATGTCATTCAACAGTTACTTTAAAATATAAACATAAGGAAATAAAAATTTCTTTTAGATGAAAAAACAAGGAGTGGGTTACCCAACATCCCATCTTCAAATTTAAAATCACGCTGTCAATTGTCCAACTGTCTAAAGCAATTCAAATTTAAAGTTTGTGCTATAAAATTGTGCACATGTTTTCTCTATAAGTGCATTGGAGAACATCAATGCACTACTATAATATTCTGTTGCCTAAATCACCTCCACCTACAGATAACGGATAAGTATGAGAACTAAGGTTAACTGACCTTAGATATAAATCCCACCAAGAAAAGTTTTAAGCCTTTACGTATTATAGTTTGATTTAAAAACAAAATAGAAACAAGTTCTGAAATAAATCACAGCATCTTCTGTTTATATATAACTTAGCAAAACCTTCAATAAACATCCAAGTGTTCACATATACTACCACTGGATTTAGAAAGCCCAAATAAATGCACAACTCTATGATTGGTCTGAATGAATAAATGCACAGTAAAACAAATGCCAATTATTTTTTAAATATACAGTCCTCTTAGATTGAAGTGGAGGACCCATAAATTCAACACCCAGCATTCTTTAAAGAAAAAGACAGCTAAAATCTTCCCAATACAGATTCCAATTAGATTTCATTATTCAAACTCCCCCACATTTTACTGGAAAAATGTAAGAAGCAATTTCACAAAAATCACAAATTGAATGGAATAATTATAACTGATATATAAATAAGAATTTACTAAAAAAGGCTTCCAGGGGGGTGATATCTTAAATCAAAGCTTTCAATATAAAAGGTGTCTTGTGTTGTTTAATCTTCCCAAGTTTCAGATGCTTTTTACTCGACGGTTACAGACTTTGCAAGATTCCGTGGAAAATCAACCTATTAAAAGAAAAAGAAAAAAATAAAAAAGAGCAAGAGTTGAGAGATTATACAGATTGAGAAAAAGGGGTTTGCTATAAGAAAACTATTTTTGTTTAGAGCTGGGTGTGGTGGCACATGCCTGTAGTCCCAACTACTCAAGAGGCTGAGGTGGGAGGATGAATTAAGTCCAGGAGTTCCAGGCCACCCTGAGCAATGTAGTTTCATATATATATATGAAACTACATTTAAACTAATATAATATTTAAAACATTATATCAGAAAATATAATCATGTAATATGTCTTGAAAAAAAACTGAACTAGTTAGGAAAAGAATTTAAAAGTGCCAGCACACACAGAAAGAGTTAATTACTCTGGTCCTCTATAGAGGTGGTAACACACTCATAGGGACACTAGAAATACAAAAGCAGAATGTTTAGGTTACCACAATAATTGAGAGAGCAGGAATACTGGAATTCATACAATGTGTGAGAGAGTTCCAAACAACCAAAAATTCCCCCTCTTCAAAATCCCACATGCTACTCTATGAAGAAAAACATACTAAGAAAACAGGTGGAGATTTCCCAAGGACAGTCCTAGTCCTAAAGGTCCTCCAAAGTAATTTCAAGTTTTATGAGTAAGAAGATATTATAACTTACAAATTGGGTCATGAAAAGATAATAGGTGACAAATACATATCTGATGGATTTTTCAAATGTTATTGTTAAAAATTTAAGAGACAAATTATCAGAATGTACCTAAGTTAAAAAAAAAAAAAAACCCTAATATTTCTGCAGAGGTGGGCCACTTACATCATAGCCTCTCAGCACTGCCAGGTGGAAAGCCAGCAACTGCAAAGGGATCACGCTGAGAATGCCCTGTAAGCAGTCCACTGAGTGTGGCACCTTGATTGTTCTTTTTGTGTTCTTAATGGTCTCAGTATCCTCCTTATCGCAAATCACCACAGGGCGTCCCTAGGGAATAAAATTACACACACACACACACACACATACACATACACATACACAATCACTAGAAAAAAAATGTAGGACTACTGGCACAAGAATATGCAAATTTTGCACTGCATAGTCTACACAAAGTCTCACTGACAGATTTATTTAAACACAAAGTCATACAGATTAAATCTGGTTGATCTCACTTAGGCAGTTGAAGAAACAGAAGTTTTGCGGAATTTAGTACTTTTTTTTTTTTTTTAAGCTTACACAAGTAAGAAATTCCAGGTTTAGTTTTTGTTTATTTGTTTGTTTTGGGGTTTATTCCAGGCTTAGTGTTTGAATCCAGATATGCCTACCTTCCAAGTTTATTACCACTACATTGTGCTTATGGAGTAATACCTTATGGGATTTATATGTAAAGCCAAATGATCTGAAAAAATTATACACAGCATTCATAATATTAACATTGAACAGTTAAGATTCCTTCTGAGATAAATATTTAAGAATATTAAATTTAAAAAAAGAAGCATATGTTAAAACTGAAAGACGAAAGAATTTGGAGACCAAGGCCTCAGTTTTAGTCTTATTGAAGCTTATTATTATAACAGAGAATTAGAATGTGCTTTTGCAGCAACTGATGCCCAATGGGTAACTAAGATCAGGAGAAAAACTGACATGTCTGCCTTATTTTGTAATATATTTGTCTTCTTTATTACCTCAAACTCTGGGTCAGATTTCTGCACAACTCTGCATATGTTAATTATTTAAGCAATGTTTATCTAAAGCTGGTAATCCACCCCCTTTAAGGCTGAAGACACTAAGATAAGAATAACTAAGCTATTTCAAAATTTACAGGGCCATTCAACTGAAGCAGTGCTGTGAAGTCTTCTGTCATTGCCCTACATATTTCATGAACATCAGAGCTTTGCAGACAGACCACCCCATGATGAGACTGCTGTCCTAAGCAGGAATAATCACCTCAAAAGAATCAAAATGCCCTCAATAAAAGAAAGATCTGAGAGAGAGCCCTTCAAAGCAAATAGAGATTGCCCTCTCAAGCCCTAAGATGATAAGGAATTTTCTGGGGCCACATCCCAGAACCAGAACTGAGATAAGGAATTGTGCATACTTTATACCTCCTATCCCAATTCCTCCTCTATTTAATCCTGAAGCTCAAGTCAGTACCCCTGAAGGCTGAGATGCTTGATCTCACTTGCCTTCCCCATATGGCTTTATTAGAGTGCATACAAATAATGTCCTTGATAAAAGTTCCCTTCCAGCTTTTCATCAATATGTTTTCCATTTGATTTTTGGAATGAATGAATGGCCAGACCTGATCTGTTGGGCCCCCCAGAATCAGGCCTCTGGCCTTGGTTTCCATTAACATTTTATCTATGAGGTTGATCCCATCAGAAGTCTAAGTATCTCTTTCCTTACACATAAATCTCAAAGGTTGTACTCCAAAGCTAACCAGTGTAAATGTGTTTTTTAATTTACCTATCTGGCACTTATTTATTACTTTAAATATGATAAAATTCAAACAAACTTTAGTAATTGACTCTTACAGTCCCAAGGTATCCTCACAGCCACCTCTGACTTACCTGACGAGCAACTACCTGCTGAAGAGCATTCTGACACTTTGCGTAAGTGTGATCTCTCATGATGATCATGATGACAGGCATCAACTTATCCACCAAGGCCAGAGGGCCATGTTTCAATTCACCAGCAAGGATGCCTTCAGAGTGCATATAAGTAATTTCTTTGATTTTCTAATAAGAAAGAACCAAATAAGCCTTCAGTACATTTTTAAAAATTCTATCTTTTAAGTAAATATTATACAAAGCATCTTATAATGTTAAGTCACTGCCTATTTATCCAACAGTATTAAAGCACCACAGATATATGGAAATATAGCTAACAATTTAACAGATCATTATTTCTATATTATCAACAAGTATTTAGAATTTTTTAAATGCACAGGTCTTCTTTAAGGTTTCAGATTATTATGAATATACATATTTCTCTGTAATTGTTCTCCCCTTGCTGCATGTTTGATCACAATTTAATTTCATACCTAGAGAACTTAATATTTTATTCCTTTTTGAACAATTTATACACTCAAGTTACTAAAATCTAAGTTAACAAGCTAAGACATCTTCTTATTTTTTATAAGGGTTCTTTAAAAAGTTCCACATATTTCATTCATTCATTCTAAAAGTATGACAAGGGTAGGGGATAATTCAGTGATAGAGCACTCACTTAGCATGCATAAGATACTGCAAAAAGTAGTAAGTATGACTACATGCCAGGTCCATAAGTCAGAAGACTAAAATTAACTGTAAATGAGGAAACATACCAGTGCCCCTTCAAGACAAGTAGCATAATGATAGCCTCGTCCCATTATCAGGACTGACTTCTGATGATAAAGTTCTGTTGCCAATTTCTGAATTTCATCATCCATGCTCAGTACTTCCTTAATTAAATCTGTTAAGAAGTAAATTTACTATTAGCAAAATCTATGAGAAATGGATCATTAACTGAACAAACAGATATAACAACAATAATATATTGGTAGCAACCAACGAAAGACCAATATTTCTATTCTTCTGTTATCAGCATAAGATTTTTAAATACATGGGAGCAAAAATAGAATGATCTTATATTAACTCAGTAGTTACAAACCACAGATTCACAGTAATAAAAGAATTTCATTCACTACCAACTCACTTAGAAAACAAAAGTAAAGTTTCCTTCTCTTGGAGGCAGACTATTCCACACACCTTGGAGTGTTACTTCCATTTCTCTAAATAAACCCTATACACGTTTTCTACTGAACCCTTTCTTTCAGGAAGACAAGAACCAGGGAACCCCATCACCAAGTAACATAACTGGTGCTGTGACATGGATTGCTATAAGAACTGACCTGCAGATACCCCTGAGGGACTATGCCTAGGGACTATGCCTGTGGCTCTGCTGCCATCATCATCTATATTAAAGATTCCACAGTGCTCACCTGCCATCAAACACCTCCTTTTAGGCTAAAGCAAGGAACCCTAAAACTCACTATCCCAACCCCTTGACTATAGGCATGTAACACCAGGCCCCACTACCATGCATAGCTTGAATCCAAAAATGTTGGCTGGCCATTTGTTTCCTTATTTGAGAATTCATTTTATTGTTCTTCACCCATTTTTCAACTTGGGCTTTTGTTTGTCTTGTCTAGCAAGAACGTGGGCTCTACAAAATCAAACAAGTGATCCAACACTCACAACCAGAAGGGTTTTAGAGTTCTGAGTCCCTGAGAGGTGAATAAGTAGCCAAACAGACATGAGCAAGGGAGGTGGAGAAAAGAAATTCAGCCTCTACCCCTGTGTGGCACCCAACTGGCTGTTATACTGCCCAGGGACCTCAGCTACTTGTCAATCTGGAGAAATGGATAAGGTCTATGATAACAAAAATTTCCAACAAGGTAATATTGGTGCAGGTGCACTAAACTATGGCAGAAAATTGCACTAACCACTCCAGATAAATAATTCGTGGAAGGGAGGCTCCCAAACAGGTCATAAGACATGAGGCTATTTCCTCTCTTCAAGGCACCCACTCCATGTACCTTGAAGCATTACTTCCTTTTCACTAAATAAACCCTTTACACTTTTTCTAAACAAAACAAAACAAAAAAAACTAAAATGTGAATATCCTTGTACCAGGCAGCCGTTTCAATCCAAGCATGATCTCTTTGCGTCTCTCTTGCATGGAGATTCTGTCATCACACATCATAAGGGCAAACATCACAAGAGATACAAACTGGCTGGTGTAAGCCTGAAATGTCACAAAAAAGGCAGAAATTAGTGGCAGTTACATCTTAAAATATATATTTTTTAAAAGGATGGAAAGAAAATGCACATTCATTTTTTTATTTGGTTTTGGTACTAGGAATTTAATTCAGGGGCTTTTAACCACTGAGCCACATACCTAGCCCTTTTCTATTTTGAGACAGGTCCTTGCTAAATTCCTAAGGCTGGCCTTGAACCTGCAGTCCTCCTGTCTCAGCCTCCCAAGCTACTGGGATTACAGGCATGCATCACCACACCCAGCTCCCAGTAGTTTTACAATGTACATTGTCTATCTTTTAAAGCAACATCAGTGGCACTAAACTAGAAATAGTCCATTTTGGCTGCTAGACAATTGACACCACCACCCCTTTTTTTTGCCCTTGAGTCAGGGTCCTGCTGGGTTGTCCAGGCTGGTCTTGAACTCAAGGGTTCAGTAATCCTTCTCTCTCCACCTTCCATGTAGCTGCACCTATAGGCATATATAACACCAGGCCCCACTACCATGCATAGCTTGAATCCAAAAATGTTGGTTGGCCATTTGTTTCCTTATTTGAGAATTCATTTTGTTGTTCTTCACCCATTTTTCACCTGGGGCTTTTGTTTGTCTTCTTCTTCTTTTTCTTTCTTTTTTTTAAATTGTTCTTAAGAAGGCTTTTAATATATTTTGAGTATTTTTCTTAAGTTTGGTAGACACACAGGTTTTTTTTAACTTTTATGTAGTACTTGTCAGCTTAGCCAATGCTTCCATATTGTAATACCAGTTAAATATTATTAAATTTTCTTAGTTCTGTTGCTTTAACTGTTCCTTTTAATTGATTTTTCTTTTACTTTTTAGTATATCTGAAATTGATTTTGATGTAAGGTGGTACATTCTGTTTTTATTTTATAAGCAGCCAATTTTGCCTCCATTTTTTATTGATTTCTGACACTTTCTGTAGTCTGAGTTCCTTGCTATCCTAGATCTATGTTGCAAGACTACTGATTTTGTCTCACAGTTCAAACATCTCTACAAAAGTCAATTTTCTATCCAGAATAACGTACTTTCATCAATTTGTGCTGAGAATTTTAAAGTCTATAATGTACTAGTTTTCATTTATTAAACAAATATTTATGGAGCATCTTGTTTCTTAGTAAAGTTTTTTTTTATTTACTTTCTACAGCTATTAAAAATAAGAGTTCCTCTCCAACACATACCTCTTCATCTACTTTTCTAAGTAGACATTTTCAATTTATAGAGAAGACTTCTTCCAATATGTTTTATAAAAAGCACTTACTGAATTCTTACTTATTCTAAGTCTTCAGTTGATATTCTTGTGCTTTATAAGTAGTCAATTATAACTGCAATGGAGAATTTTGTTTTATTCTTTTCTGTTGTTTTACTTATCTCTTTCCTATTAAACTGAACAGAACTTCCAGTACAGAGACAGCAAACAGATTTCATATAAAACCAATGCTAACACATCAGGACTTAGTGAAACATCACATTGAGAAAGACTGTATGGCCACCCTGTTTGCTTTTTCACTACAATACTATAGATAAAATTCCAGGAAGGTTCCAAAAGAGTAGGTAAGAACCACTAACAAGAAGGTTTTAAAACTTTCTATTTTGCAGATCACTCATTCCTTTTTCTCTATTGTTTGTCAACTTCTGTTTTGTTTATTCATTTATTCATATGTGGTGCTGAGAATTGAACCCAGTGCCTCACACATGCCAGGCAAGCGCTCTACCACTGAGCCACAACCCCAGCCCCAGACCCAATATCTTGACTTGTGGGATATCCAAACTGTTTCCAATCCAAACTGATGAGACAACAAGTATTACAATTCCATTAGCCAATTACTAAAAATGTCATTCTACAAACTAATGTTTCTTTGGAATGGAAACATTTCAACATTATTTTTTAAATATAAATATTAAACAGAGTAACTTTAATGTAAACATTTTCCATTACTCTGCTGTTACAGTATAATTTCCAATTTTAAAATCATGTTTTTCTCCACTCCCTACCCCACCAGTGCTGGAAATTGAACTTAGAACATCATGCATGTTTGGCAAATACTCTATGACTGAACTGTACTCCCAGTCCCCATATTTTTTATTTTATCAATATATACAAGGAAACTAACTATAAGAAAATTAAGCAACCCCACGCAGTTAGAATCTACTGAGGTTTGAAAGAATTAACCAGGAAAATGTTGACTCTGAACTTTTAAACTTGGTTTTTATTCAGCCAAAAACAAAGTCAGATGAGTATATTTCTAAAGTCAGCACTGTGGTGAAATTTTAAACACCTGCAATAACATGCAAAAATGGCTGAACCTGCACATTTATATCCATCAATTCCTACAGAATTATCAAATTGTCTATGGTCTGACATTATGGGAAATAATATCCCTGTAATCCTAATAGTTTTTTCAGGCAAAGCTGGGAATTCATAAGCTGGATCATAGAGCTTAAGGAACAGGGTCAATGATCAACTCTTTTGATTACCCATTAACATACACATTTACCATTCAGAAATGGTCTATGACTAAATATTCCAACACTTCTTTTAAATAACTCCAGCCCAGAATATCTAAGACAGTTGAAGAAAAAATTACTTTGAAATCCAAGAAAAAAAAAAGTAACATCAAATTGCCATATTGTCAATTTTTTTAAGACAAGTTTTTTTTTTCTTTTGTTTTGGAGAGTGAGGGTACCTGGAATTAAATTCAGGGGCACTAGACCACTGAGCCACATTCCTAGCCCTATTTTGTATTTCATGTAGAAACAGGGTCTCACTGAGTTGCTTAGCACCTCGCTTTTGCTGAGGCTGGCTTTGAACTTGCAATCTTCCTGTCTCAGCTCCTGAGGCACTGGGATTACACACGTGCGCCACTGCACCCGGCCAAGAAATTTAAGTTTGTACTATAAAAAGATGATTGTTTCAGTATTGGGATTCTGGATTAGTGGTAGAGCACTCGCCTAGCATGTGTGAGGCACTGGGTTCGATCCTCAGCACCACATAGTAAATAAACAAACAAATAAATAAAAATGAAGATATTAAAAACATATATGCTTATTTTAGAAGATATAAGGATTGGGGAAAACCGGATGAAGGAAACATAGGACTTCTCTGTACTAGTGCTATAGTCTAGAGGAGTATTTCCCTCAAACGTTTGGTTCCCCAGGTGGCACTAGTGGGAGGTAGTAGGACCTTTAAGAGCTGGAACCTACTGGAACGTCCTCAGGTCACTGGGCATATGCCCTCTAAGGAGACTGTGGGACCCCTCTCAGCCTTCTGGCTCAGCTGTTGTTCTATCATGCACTCCTGCTGTGATGTACCATCCCTGCCAGAGGCATAAAATGGGACTGCCTAATTTGGAAATGGAAACTCCAGAAATGTGAGCCAAAAGAAATCTTTTCTCTTTATAAGTTAACCTGCCTCAGATATTTCATTATAGTAATGTGAACTTGATTAATAACAACTTTGTAACTTCCTCTAAATCTGTTTATTTCAAAATAAAAATATTTTAAAGACTTGCAGAAAGAACTATTAATACAAGTAACAGTATCAATGAACCTCAAAAACTTCATACTAAATGAAAGAAACCAGACATAAAAGACAAGTATTATACCATCCCATTTATAAGAAATTTCTAAAAAAATGACAAAATACAGCAAAAGAAAGCAGTAGCTGCTGGGTATGAGGCTGGAGGTTAAGGGTGGGAACTGGCAATCAAGGAGTACAAAGAAACTTTGGCATGTGATTAAAGTCTTAGTCTAAAACTGGGTTGTTGGGACAGCTGCATAGCCAAATAAATTTACTGACACTACACACTTAAAATTGGTGAATGTTATATCATGAAAACTGTATCTCTGTAAAACAGTAGAAAAAAAGGTTAATGGTAGAATCCAATTGATGAGTATTGATGGGTGTTAATGTAAAATTATTTTAACTCTGCTACATGTCTGAATATAATAAAAAGTTCTCGTTAAAAAAAGTGAAAATTGGGCTGGGGATGTGGCTCAAGCGGTAGTGCGCTCGCCTGGCGTGCGTGCGGCCCGGGTTGGATCCTCAGCACCACATACAAACAAAGATGTTGTGTCCGCCAATAACTAAAAAATAAATATTAAAAATCAATCTCTCTCTCTCTCTTTAAAAAAAAAAGTGAAAATTTTAAAAATAGCATTTCCCTTGGCAGCTCACAATTCCAGAAAGATCTTATAAAAGTTGAGCTGTGCTATATTCCACATACACCACATTAAAGTCCTTGTTTCACGATATGTTGTGAATAAAGAAGCCCTGGGATTCTAATCGCCACCCTCATCAAAGCATCTGTCTGGACATTGCTCTAAAAATCCATTAACTGTTGCTGAGGGCAGCTGGTTATTTATTCAGCCACAGGATGAAAACCAAGCACAAACAACTTACATTTTAATTACCATATGGAGAAAATTCAAGTTTCAGCTATCCATAAATTATAGTGTTAGTAATATCAAAATACCCAAGAAATTAAAACCTCAAAAGTTTTTACATAAGAATTACAAATTTTGCACAAAAAATTTTTTCCATGAGATTCTTTTTGAGGAAAAAAAAGTTAAGTGTGGTTATTGATCCATTACCATCATCTTCCATAGCCCTTTAATTAAACTCAAAATCAATAAAGTGTTTTATTAGATAATCAGCAAAAAATATTAGATTTAAACAGAAAAACAGATAATGAGAAATTGAATATTTGGAAATCATAAAGTTTAATATCTTTGGAGAGATAAGTCATCTGCATGTATATAACTTTCTATGATTGATTTTTTTTTAAATTTTTTTTAGTTGTTCGTGGACCTTTATTTTATTTTTATGTGGTACTGATAATCGAACCTCACACACACTAGACAAGCACTCTACCACTAAGATACAATCCCAGCCCTGATTTTTTAAAATTATTATTAAATTTATGCATGTCCTACTTTCAAAGAGCTACATGGTCTTAATAAGCCTTTAAAAGAACTGAAATTCAGAAAAGTGGCAGGATATAAGGTCAACATCCACAAAAAAATCACATTCCTGTACTAAATGATGAATCTACTAAAAAAGAATTAGGAAAACTGTCTCATTGAAAATAGCTTCAAAAATAAATAAAATAATTGGGAATCAATCTAACAAAAGAGGTAAAGGACCTATACAATGAAAATTATAGAATACTGAAGAAAGAAATTGAAGAAGATCTCAAAAGATGGAAAGATCTCCCATGTTTTTGGATAGGCAGAATTAATACTGTCAAAATGGCCATACTATCAAAGGCACTATACAGATTCAATGCATTTCCCATCAAAATTACAATGATGTTCTTCACAGAACTAGAAAAGCAGTTATGGAATTCATTTGCATAAATAAAAGATTCAGAATAGCCAAAGCAATTGTTTAGAAAAGGAGGCATTGTTTAGAAGCAGGAGACATCAAAATACCAGAACTAAATTATATACTACAGAGCAACAGTAACAAAAATAGCATACTATTGGCATCAAAACAGATATGAAGTCCAATGGAACAGAATAGAAAACACAGAGACAAACCCACATGAATACAGTTATCTCATACTAGACCAAACATACACTGGAAAAAAAGTAATCTTTTTAAGAAATGGTGCAGGGAAAACTGGAAATTCATATGCAGTAGAATGAAATTTAACCCCCTTCTCTCATCTTCCACAAAACTCAAAGTAGATCAAAGACCTAGGAATTAGACCAGAAACCCTGCACCTGCTATAAGAAAATGTAGGCCCAGTACTCCAACACGTCAGCTCACAAACTGACTTCCTTAAAAGATTCCTAAGGCTCAAGAGTAAAATCAAACATCAATAAGTGGGACAAAATCAAATTAAAAAGCTTCTTTACAGCAAAGGAAACAATAAAGAGTGTGAAGAGAGAAACAACAGAATGGGAGAAAAATCTGTCACCTGCTCCTGAGATAGGGTATTAATATCCAAGATAAATAAAGAACTCAAAAATTTAACACCTAAAATAATGATAATAATAATAATCCAATCAATAAATGGGCAAAAGAACTAAACACTTCTCAAAAGAAGAAATACAAATGGTTAACAAATAAATGAAAAAAATATTCAACATCTCTTAGCAATTAGAGAAATGTAAATTAAAACTACACTGAGCTTTCATCTCGCTCCAGTCAAAATGGCAATTATCAAGAATACAATAAGAATAAATGTTGGCAAGGATATAGAGGAAAAGGTACACTCATAAATTATTGGTGGGACTGCAAATTAGTGCAACTGTTCTGGAAAGCAATATGGACATTCCTCAAAAAACTAGGAATGGAACCACAATATGACCCAGCCATCCCACTTCTCAGTAAATACCCAAAGGATTTAAAATCAGCATACTACAAAGACACAGCCACAGCAATGTTTATATAGAAGCTCAATTCACAACAGCCACACTAAAGAGCCAACCTAGGTGCCCTTCAACAAATGAATGGATAAAGAAAATATGGCATACATACACAACAGAGTATTACTTAGTCATAAAGAAGAATGACTTTATGACATTTGCTGGTAAATAGATGGATCTGGAGACTATCATGCTAAGTGAAATAAGCCAATCACAAAAAAACAAAGGTCAAATGTTTTCTCTGATATGCGGAAACTAACCCACAATAAGCAGGAGTCGGGGGAAGAATAGAAGTTCAGTGGGGTAGACTAAGGGAAATGAAGGGAAGGGAGGGGAAATGGGAAAAGGAAAGATTGTAAAATGAATACAACATAACCTTCCTATGTACATATATATAACCACAGTGAATCTCACCATCGTGTACATCCATAACAATTTTTTTAAAACTACAAATAAATAGCAGAAAGATCAGTAGAGTTGTGAGAAGGGAATGAGGGAAGGAGAACTAGGAATTAAATCAGAACAAATTATATTCCATACTTTTATAATTATGACAAAATGAATTCTATTGTCATGTATAACTAAAAAGACCCAATAAGAAAGATAATAAAGTATTCTTAAAAAAAAAAAAAAAAAGAACTAAAAGGCAAAGGCAGAAGCCAGGTGTAGTGGTGCATGATTGTAATCCTAGGAACTTGGGAAGATAAGGCAGAGGATTTCAAGTACAAGGCCAGTCTCAGCAACTTAGTAAGACCCTCAGTAACTTAGTGAGATCCTTTCAAAAAATAAAAAAGACTGAGGGTGTAACTGTGAAGCACCTGTGGGTTCCATCCACCATACCAAAAAAGGAGAGAAAGAAATAAAAGTTCCTTTATACCTCCACAGATGTAACATCTAACTAGATGTAACATCTAACTATATTTTCATAAAATACTCATTTATTTGGTATTTTATTTGTTCTTATTAGTTATACATGATAGAATCTATCTTGACATATTATACATATTTAGAGTATAACTTCTCATTCTTCTGGTTGTACATGATACAGAATTAATCATACATGCACATAGGATAGTAATGTTCGATTTATTCTACTATTTTTCCTATTCCTATTCACCCTCCCTTCCCTTCATTACCCTTTGTCTAATCCAAAGTACTTCTATTCTTCCCTACCCACCCCCATTATTGTGAGTCAGCATCCGAATATGAGAGAAAACATTCAGCCTTTGTTTTGGGGAGACTTTGTTTTGGCTTATTTTACTTAGGATGATATTCTTCAGTCCCATCCATTTACCAGCAAATGCCATAATTTTATTCTTCTTTATGGCCGAGTAATATTCCATTGTGTATAAGTACCACACTTTCTTTATCCATTTATCTGTAGAAGGGCACCTAGGTTGGGTCTATAATTTAGCTATTGTTTTTTAATTTTTTAAAAATATTAGTTTTTAAATTGCCAAATTTATACCAAATGTATACTCCTTACAAACCTTCAAAAGTAGTACATAATTTTGACCTATTTATAAGAATCCAGGAATCTATAAATAAAAATGTCAAAAAAAACTACCATAATTAAACTGGATATTTCCAATCTATTACTTTTCTAATTCCTAACTATATTTAATAAAAGAAAGGGGTGCCATACGCATAAGTACTATGTATTCCACTATGTCTCACAGGAGGATTACAAGTGATGAATAGGGACAGCCAACAGAGACATTTTCAAAGTAGACTTATAATATATACTTTGTCCTTTTTAAATACTTAGATTGGAGGGAAGAAGAGTAGATGACAGTCTTATCTATACTGACCTTTAAGTCTTACAATAATTACAATGACAAGTAAAATGTATGAGTTCTATAACTGCTAAAAAAAAAAAAGGAAAAGAAAAATAAGATATAGACTATACTATACGCTAGTCTGTTTCACCCAATACTATGATTAATAATCATCAGAGAGAGAATTCAAGAATTTACCTTTGTACTGGCCACACCAACCTCAGGGCCGGCATTAATATGAACACCACAATCTGTCTCCCTTGATATAGAACTGCCAACTGTGTTTGTGATTCCCACAGTTAAAGCTCCTCTCTCCTTACAATACCGAAGACACATCAGGGTATCTGCTGTCTCACCTGTATAAGAGTACAGCAAAAGTAAAACATGGAATAGTTTCAGCATATGTTGTTTCTTAGATGTAAAAACAAATGGATCACATTTTTAATAATATCACACATTTTAAATGAAACAGAAAATATGCCTTTAATAAACTTAAAAAATTTTTTAATAATAGGTTTTTTAGGATCCCTTTGCCTCCTGTCTGAAAATTCAACTCTTTGCAAGTAAAAGATATTCATTTTTACTAATTCATAAAGAACATAAATACAGAAGTAAATCTGTATGCCATGCAAAACCAATTTATTTTTAAATACCATTGTTTGCCAAGATATGCTAGAATTATTAGAAAAAATGACTTTCCTTCAAGTTTTTAAAATGAACTTACCTGATTGACTAATGAAAAAGCAAACATCATCTCGAAAGACTGGTGTGTTTCTATCTAGGAAATCACTGGCTAGTTCCACCATCACTGGCAATTCAGTCAGCTCCTCAAGAACCTGACGTGTCTGCAGAGAAAAGGTGATGTAATCATACAACTCACCTTCAGATACTTTTTTCCACTGGGTTTCTTTGGACTTAACATATAGTTTTCACTTTTTTCTGATTATAAAAATGATAAATACATACAGTTAGAAAATACAATACAGATTAAAACATAAAAAATAAGATCCCACTACCCAAGAAATAAACACTGTTAACATTTCAGAACAAGTCTCTTTAGACGACTACCAATGCAAATACACCCACACGTAAAACATTTTGAGAAGCAGAAAAAGCACTGTTGTGAGTCAGCTTGTATATTATCTCTAAACTTCCCAATTCCTAATCTTTAAAATGAAAATTCATATAATACCATTCTCATTGAGGGATTTCAAATGAGACAACAGATGTACAAGTATTCAGTGAAAACCTGAACACTTTAAACATGCAATGTATGTATACATAGTATCATTTTCCAAAAAAGTCAGCACCTTTTAGAAATCCTGTTTTAAAAAGCTCACATTTTCAAATTTTGGAGTATTGAAGAGGGATGATAGAGTGTGGTTTGTGTCTCTGTTCAAAGGACACCTTATTTCCTATCACTCAATTTCCATTCTAATTAATTTTTTTTAAATTTTCTCCAAACATCAGAAAATATAAATGTTCAGACAGAAAAACTTGAGGCTCTATGGATGTGAATAGGTATAGTGATTCTTTTAACACTAACTCTATAGAGACGCCCTGACCTGACAGCCCTCCACCAGCCTCACCAAGCAAGCCCATCTTTCACCTCATCTCTACATTCCTCCTCCATAGTAATAAAGACTGTAAATATGTCCTTATTCCACAGCCCTTCAACTTTTGCTTGTCCACAAATTGAAACAGAACTGAATTGTTCCATTTGGATTCCCAATAACTTGGGTTTGGCATTTTTTTGAAATATTTTAACACCATGAACAGAGAGTCTTCAAAACTAAAATGCTCTTGCAGGCATGGTGATAAAAGTCTATAATCCCAGTGATTCAGAGGCTGAAGCAGGAGGATCACAACTTCAAAGCCAGCCTCAGCAACTCAGTGAGTCTCTAAGCAACTTACTGAGACTTAGTGAGACCCTGCCTTAAAATAAAAAATAAAAAAGGCCTGGGGACATAGCTCAATAGTTAAGCACACTGGATTCAACCCAAAAAAAAAAAAAAAAGAAAAGAATGCTCCTTTTGTCATTACTTTCCACTGATGTATTTTCCTTATTAATTATATATAAGTTATTGACATTAAAATGCTAGAGTTTTTCAAGATGGCAGAATAGAGGAGGTCGTGTTCCTGGCCACTTTGTGGTGTGAAACCAGGAAAGTAGACAGGGAGCTTCTCCACAAGGTGGGTGAACCAAAGGGGGACATTAAAATTGGACATTCAAAGCAGAATGGGGATACAGGAGGTTGGATATAATAAGGAAAAAATCCTCATGGACACAGCTGCTGCCATAGCTGGGTCAGAAGCACCAGTCAAAGTGGCTCCTTTGTGAGGACAGTACAGGGATGAGGGAATGAAAGCAACCCGCATTTTTGGGAGGTCCAAGGTGCATTTTGGGAAGGTCCAAGGCGTACCTGGATATGAAGCCTTTAGAGATCAAGGACATTGACCAACAAACCTAAAAGATGTGCCGCATCATATCTGTGTGTGGGGAAAGAAGCCGCCATCTCTCCAGGCTATGTGCAGAGAACAAAGGAAGGCACCATTTTCCAGGTGTGCGCCCCCCCACCCCCACCCCAGCATCTGAGGAAGCCAATTCCTGGCAAACCCAAGTTTGGCCCAAAATACGGGTCCAGTAAACATACATTGAGCAACATAAAGAATGCTTAAGTGACCAGGAGAAAATCAAACGTACAGAGAGGTTTACATAGACTACTGGTCTCAGAAACCCCCTCCAACTAGACTGCTTGCAGGACTGGCTGGGAGAGACAAATCCCAGAACTCGGAAGGGCAGGAGTGAATCTGGCTGGGAACTCAGAAGGGCAGGACCGGGAGTGAGTTATTCCTAGACTCAAGGCCCAGATCAGTAAACGTGATATCCACATGTGACAAAGGGGACTAAGAATGGGGTCTCCCATCACATGCGTGGAACCCAGGGGAGAGCCCTGGGGTACATTCTTCCAGCATGGGCCAGCAATTACTGGACACTGGTGGTGTACTGATCTAAATCTCCAGACCAACTGGCATTCAGTGAAAAGCCTGGAGTCCACCCCTAAGCCTAAACCCTGTTTCCAGAAATTCTTCCTACAGGATTACCTTTCTCACACCATCAAGCCAGAGGGTGGAGCATCATGATCCAGATGACCCCCACCTAAAACTGCTGAGAAAAGCAACTGAGAATATACTGAACTACAATAGAAATAATTCTTTAACTTTTCATCAAGATGATTTTTCCTTTTATAAAATTTTTTTATTCTTTTACTCATTTAATTGTGACTTTGATGGTACATGGATATTTATACATTTTCATATTTGTTTTCTTCTCTCTTTTCTTCTCTAGCATTTTTGAAGCCAGTTATTTTTTATGGATTAGTTTTTTGTGAATTAGAATATTGGATTAGTATTTTTTAGTTTTGTGTATTTTATTTTTATTTTTGTTTTAAATTTTTACTTTATATATATATGTGTGTGTGTATGTTTTTCTCCCATGGTTTCCCTTCATTCTCTTTTCCTCTGCTAACAGCAAATCTGTTTTCCCCCTTTCACTCTTCCTTTGATCTTTTACTTCTGTCTTATCTCCTCCTCCCTCATAATCATCACATCTTATATCACTTCTGTTCTCTCCCTGTCCACCATTTGAAATTGCAAATCCTTTTGCAAATTTGCTATTTTTACCATAGGCAATAACTGATCATATTATCATAAGTAACACTGTAGATGTTGTAGTATGAATTATATGGTTTAATGCTGTATATTGCTTACAATGGTTGTTGTTATTATTTATCTCCCCTAAACAGTTAAGGTACTGGAAAACTTCAGGGACACTGTAAGTCCACGGAGTAGAAATTCTACTGCCTTAGATTCATACTGATAGATGGATAGACACACAAACAACATGAAAAAGCAGGGGAACAAACTGTCACAAATAATAGAAACCACTGACATCACAGTAAAAGAAATGTCAGACAAGGAGTTTAGAATGTACATAGTTAAACTGATCTGCAAAGTAAAGGTCAGCATAAAGAATGAAATCAGAGAGAATATATAGGAAGGGAAAAATCATGATAAAGAGGCAGAGATGCAACAGTGCTGCATCTCTGAACATGCTGCCCAACCACACAGCCCACCCTCACTACCCTGGGGATCTCAGAAAGTAGTCGCCTCCATCTTGGGACACCTTTGCCACAATCTTGAGTTACCCCTGCTACTACCATCGCCATCTTTAGTTGGGGTAACTCCCATGGTGGGACACCAGCTGAGGCCTAAAAGCAATATCAAGGTCCCTATAGTCTCCTAACGCCCCCCTCTCCCCAGCCACCAACCCGGCACCACAATGCTTGCAGCTACATGGCCAGCCCATAGCTCTCAAAGCCTGGTCCTGATCTGCCCGATACAGAACAGCTCTCCACGACAGGGGTATAGGCCCCAGTGCTCTGCCCACAGGACCACCAGAGAGAGAGATTCCTGATTGGGAAGTAGAAAGGGAGAGGGCGAGAGAGATACAGTTTAGAGTATAAATTAAGAGACCAAGAATTGTGGGGTCTATAGGTGATATAAAGGGCTAAGACCAGGCACCCACATCTCACAAGTGAGCCCCAAAGAAGATCCTTGGAGCACAGTCTTTGAACAGGGACCAGCAAGTGCTATATCCTACCTCCAGGAGTTCCACCTCCAAGACCAATCCTCCCACCCTAATAACCTTTACTATACTAAGAATGGAGATACTAGCAAACACCAGACAACCAACTCCAACTATCAAATGAGAAGGCAAGCAGGAAAGATACTGAACTCAGAATTGTACAATTTTCCTTCTAGGTGTTTTTTTTTCCCCCTGCTCTTTTCCCACCCTCACATCCCCAACATTTGTGAAATCAAGTATTTTTCATGTAGTAGGCTACTGAGGATTGGGTTGTCTGAATAGTATATTACAACTTTGCTGTATACTCTTTTATCTTTTGTTTTTCATTTTCTTATTAATTTTGTTTTGTTTTGTTTTTTGTATTCCCTCTATTTTCTTCCCATTTATCTGTCTCCCCAGAGTCTCTTTCTCTCTTTTCTCCGATACCAGCCAACTTCTATCCATTCCTCTTTCACACTTCCTAAGATCTAATATTTCTATATCCTCATTTCCTACCTCTTTAACATCTATCTCATCCTACACCCCCTCCCTGGATTCTCTCTTTGTCCATTATTAGAAACTATGGACCCTTCTGCAAATCTATTGTTTATATTATAGATAATAATGGAATACACCATTTTTGTTTATTGCAATAAAACTGTATAAACATCTTAATAGGAGCTATTTATTTAAGGCTGCATATTGTTTGCACTAGGATCTGTTAATATTGATATCCCCTAAAAAGAGAGATACTGGAAATCTGTAGGGACACTATAAGTCTAAGTGTAGAAACTGTAATATCTCGGATCTGCACTGCTAGAGGGGAAGACACACGAACAACATGAAAAAATAAGGGAAGAAAGTGCCCCAAACAAACCAAGATACTACATTATTAGAATCCATTGACAGCACAGAGAAGTAGTTCAGGATATACATAATTAAAATGTTCCACAAACTTAAGGATGATTTAAGAGAGCAAACACATGCAACAAAAGATTGCTTCGATAAAGAGCTACATGAGCAAATACAGGAAGCAAAAGATTACTTCAATAAAGAAAGATTCTGAAAACAAACAGAAATCCTTGAAATGATGGAAACAATAAACCAAATTAAAAACTCAATAGAAAATATCACCAACAGACTAGATCACTTGGAAGACAGAACCTTAAACAATGAAGACAAAATACATAATCTTGAAAATAAAGTTGACTACACAGT